TATATATATATACATATACATATACATATATATATATATATATATATATATATAAATAAATAAATCCAAGCTTTTAACCTGGTCAATATTTTGGTGTCCTTAGTCCACTTAATATGGCACTCAGCACTCAGGCTTCCTTGGACCATGCCATTGGCAATTTGCATGTATTAACGTGGCTTGTGAAGGATCTTTATGGCATTTATAGACCACAGGTTTAATCGAATCATTCATCAAATGATTAATCGGGAAATGAACCAGGCTGTCAATTATTGATAAAAATAGAGACAACTCTGGGTTAATCAATTACTTGATTTAATTTGATTAAATTGTAAATATGCCACAAGTCTAGATTTAGTGAAGTTTTAGGCAAATATTTTTCTTAATCTTTGAGTCAATAAATCTATTTAATTGTTTTGGGTCTAAATTGTAAAAACATTGCAGCCTTTACATGTTGACATCATCATTTATTTCACTGCAACGGCAAAACTCACAGAAATACAACAGTACTGTACATATTATGGACAAATTTAAATGGGTCTCTCCAACCTTGAGCCCCTGGCTGCACGTTTGACCAAGTTAAGCGGAAAAAAAGTTGTTCGGACGATTGGCTGCGAGAAGCTGAGGTCAGGTGTTTTTTGTCTGTGCCTTAATGGAAGGCAGTTATTCATAGACATGGCTAGTAAATGTCTGCGATTGCCTGGGGAAGGTAAAATGGCTCCGTATATTTCACTGAGGTCATGTCTTTAATGTCCTCCCTACTGATGAGATGAAGGGGGGAGGCCAAGAGAGGAAATGCATGAAGAGGGAGGGGTGAAAGAGCAGGGTATGAGGAGGAAGATGAAAGGGAGAGATGTAAGACAGGGAGAGAGAGAGAGGCTGAAGGAGATTGAAACATATAAATTAAACGTCCGCTCCATTTCAGCCGCTCTGACTCACTTTCTCTCCTTTACATTTATCATTCCCCTGAGCCTGGGCTGGTGAGAGTGTGCTGGGAGTTCACAATGGGGTCACCAATTAACCAGTGATGCTTCAGCCACTGCACAGACCCAGCAGTGTGTGTGCGTGCATGTGTGTTTTATTACATGTGATTGTTTAAGGCATGGACAACAACACTACTGTCCCAGTGTTTGATTTAAAGATAACCGGCCGTTTTTTTTATGTTGTGACACTTACTGCAACACTTCTTCCCATGGTGACTCCCTCTTTTTTATTATATTATATAATATAATGTTATATATATATATGTATACATACAGTATATACACACACACACACATATAAACATTGCTAATCTATATGTTGCCAGTAGTGACTCATGCTGCCACTCTTTCACATTTGTTACGTTTGTAAGAGTAAAACATGATCATTATTATTTCACTGTCTGTACTCAATAAAGTGAAACAATCACACACATATTCTATGTGTCTCTTTCAAAGATTGGCTGCAAATTGTGGTTAAAAAACTAATTTGTAGAGTTGTGTGTTTGTCCTGTAATCTGGCTCCGTGTTTACTCCTGACGATGACTGTTGACCAATCCTGCTCTCTGTTTAGGTGCGTTGGATGATGTACTGGATTGTTTATGCGCTCTACACCGTAGTAGAGACCGTCACTGACCTTACACTGGCCTGGTAAGTGGTATTTTTTGTTTTTTTGTAAAAAATAAATAAAAATCAAACAGTCTGTTGTCTGTGAACATGTTCACAGACCATCACCAGTACCGAGCTGCTGTACCTACCCGAGTCTTACACAGTAGAGATATTTTTGGTCAGCTGATGAGCTGTGGCTGATCACCTGATTTTGGTCATTGGGTCTACCACATGCTTTTCCAAACACAAAGGTTTTTTTGAGCTGCTTGATTTGAAAGGTTTTCATGGAAACAGTCAAAAGATTTGTGGAATGATGATACAATCCTGCAGTGGCGTCACCAAAATTAATGACATGTACAAATGTCCCAGATTAGAGATTTAAGGTTACAATTGTGTTATTGTGTTGTGCATAATGGACAGACTGGTGGTCTTAAAGTTCACAAACAAATTAAATGCTGAAAATTGAAATAATCTATTATAAATAAACCACACAACAATAATTACCATTATTGGTCATGTTGGTTTTCTTCTTAAGCATAAGAACCAAGAATTCCAAGAATATATGGGAAAAATATAATTTTGCTCATATAAAGGAATGTGGATATATAACGCATCGTAAATAATTCAGATCACAGTTTAACGTGATTAAACTGGATTGATCCTGTGATTAATCAGATGATCTTTTAAAGACACGTCCTCTCCCTTTTTTCCGCCTATGTCCAGGTTTCCACTGTACTATGAGCTGAAAATAGCCTTTGTGATCTGGCTGCTGTCGCCCTACACCAGAGGAGCAAGTCTGATTTACAGGAAGTGTCTACATCCTCTGCTGTCGTCCAGAGAGAGGGTGAGATCAACCACCACACCTCCACAGCCACCTTTATGTGTCTGGGTTCTTGTCCAGTATTTTTTCTTTTTTCCCTTCCCTTTCAACTAGTATTTTAAGAAATTGTTGAATGATTGTTTCTCTGCAGGAAATAGATGATTATATCGTTCAAGCCAAGGAGAGAAGCTATGAAACCATGGTGAACTTTGGTAAACAGGGACTGAGCATCGCAGCCACAGCGGCTGTCAGTGCAGCTGTCAAGGCAAGTTTTTTTTTGTTTTTTTTTTTTGTCTTTCTATTTCTTTTTTGGCTTGCTGTGTATTGCACCTCACTCACACACCAGTTTTGTTCTAAGACCCTTTAACCACACGAGCATGGCTGCTCGCTTTAGCTCACTCCTGTGGTATTTATCAAATGGGGACATGCCTTCTAAAGCCCGCTTTCTTCCTGGGAGGATTTGCTTTCATGAGCTCTCCCCTGCTTTGGCTTTAGATACAACAGCACCCCCAAGCTGCTGGAGACAGCAGAGCAATTAAGCTGCGTTCATCCTTGTGGCACAGAATGTTCCAAATCGACCTAGTAAATCACACTCGACAGAACACGAACAGAAATAGTGCTGTCAGTGTGAGGGAGGAAAGAAAGTGCAGAAGATCTGCATTAAGTCCCCAACAGTCAATTCTGAATAAAATCTAAACTTGACTTTGGAATATTTTTAACACAGCTCATACAAATGCTAAATTTGCTACGACTCACTTGTCCTTTAGCCATCACTTACTTTTACTATTGCAGAGTCAGTGCTAATGAGGTGTGTTTGGCCAGTTTCATCAGCCTTGCATGGATACCTGAGAGTATCAGATAATCCCCGCTGAGCTCCCGTCTCAGGCTTCACCACTCGGAGGTAATCCCAGGCAGTGGGAATCCACCCTTGAACAGAATTAATCAGGTCGGCCTGTGGGACTCACATTAACAACAGGAGGGCGTCCAACATGTTCAGCCCAATGTGAAGCAGGCCCAGTGCAGAAGATAATTGTCACAGGAGGGTATGAAATTGAACCATAACTAAGATTTTTAAAATAATGAATACATTTGCTTGGTATTTAACCAAAGACTAGGGATAAAATGTCTAAATCATGCCCATCTCTACCGTCCTGTGGTTAAAATTCCTGTAGATTGAGACTAAAGTACCAATGGTCAGAATGCATGTATTTTTGTACCTAAGAGATTTGCCATATGTTTCTATGTATGTGGATTTCTGTTGCATCTTTTTAGTGCCTTTGTCCAGCATGTATCATTCTTCCTTTCTCAGTCTTCCTAAAGAATGTTATTAATTTATCGTTTTAAACCGTTATAACCGACAGTCGACATTTTTAACTACGAAACCCTGCTTAATACAGCCATTACACGTCAGTAAACAGCTTTGAGAGCAGAAGGTATTTTAATGTTTGAATGTATTTAAAAAAATAACCAATATCCCTCAGCCAAGGCCAGTCTTTTTGAAATTCTGTCTGCAGTTTAGTTTATAATGCACAACACGTTCAATAATGTGCACGTCGCCTGCGGCCAATTTTAATTATATCTGTAAATAGTCTTGGGTGTGGGAAGAAACAGATGCACTTTTCTAGCTCAATAATTTAAATGACTTTTTGTAGTTGTTGCTACTTTTTGGTACAACTGTGATTTGGTTTAATCAGCTACAGGTCAAGGTTTTCACATTCTTCCTTAGGACCTCACAGACCTTAACTCAATTAAAAATGTATGGATTATCACAAACAAGCTCAAAGTGAAAAATATAATCACAGTGAATATAAGTGAAAAAATCAATCTCTGAAACAGTCCAGGCTTTTCTGGAAAGTAATTCTGTGCCTTTTGGAAAATACTCTTTGAGTAGCTGCAACTTCCTGACAACGTAATTATTTTCACATCTGCATTTTTCCCCCTCGTTCTGTTGGTCACAGCACAATACTGACATGAATACATTTACACCTATTTAATGGACATCACCACTACACACCCAAACAAACAAACTCAAAGGTAATGAAACCTCAGAATAACAGTGGTGAAGGCGTGACAACTGTGGAACAAATGATTCTGGTCAAAACAATTTGCTCCAGAGAAAGCTACTAAACATAAACCGGAGAGCAACCGATTAGAAGCCAACAGTTTCCATGTGCTTTATTAGGTCAGTCAGGGAAAACTGATAAAGTCGTCCCTGGAAAAACTTGGGAACAAATTGTCCCAGAACTGGTGTTGTATATTGAACTCATCCAAACAGACGGCATCACACAAGGCCAAGTCATTGGATTAAAAAACAGTTTTCCTGCAGAACAGAGAGAAAAAGATCCACAGAAAATAATAAATCTCAACATCAATTTAATTAACACATGTAAATGTTGTTATTGTTATGAATGATCAAGTCTTATCATGTTTCGTATATAAACATTTACCAATTCATCATAAAAATATGTTTTTGACAGCCTAAAGTCGACACATTAACTCATGAAAGATGTGGTTTTACTGGAAACCTTCACCAAAGGAACATTCACAGATTGGACATTGGAATGTGGTTTTACTGGAAACCAAAAGGAACATTCACAGATTGGACATTGGTGGATTTTAATTTTGTCCACTATAGACACATTCTAGCTTCAGACAAGCTGCCTGTCCAGCCCTTCGTTCTCCAGTGTGCTGCACTGGGGCAGTCTGGTTTTTTATTATTGTGTTTTGGCTTTTCTGGTCTTGGTCAGGATTGCAGCATGCCCTCAGGCTCCTGCTCCAGCCTGTGCTTATAACAGTTTATAGAAGTGTGTAACATCAGTACAGCAGCCTGTGCCTGACTTCTGCTTGTTCTTCTCAGTGTGTCTAATTTTAAAAAGACCTGAAAGCCACAGTTTGCTGTCACAACAATGTGGTGCATCGCTCTCACAGCTAACCTTCCTGTGCCTTGTTTCTCCTCTGTCTCTCTCTTTCTTTTTCTGTCCTCCACACTGACCGTCCTTCCTTCAGGGTTTCTGTGTATGAGCGGGCGACAGTAGGAGGTAAAAAAAAAATGTTGCAGCATGAACAGAATGTTTCCCTGCCATTTCATTCCTACATTATTCTGCCGTTTCCACATATACTTCTGATTTGTGGACAGTCCTGATCCACAAAAACGTTACTTGTTTCACTCTGTTCTCTGGGTTGTATAAATAAAAAAACAGCATTAGGCTGAGCATTTATTATCTTTTCTTTTCATTTAGTTTCTTATTTGGTAAGTGGAATGTGCTTTGCCCCCATTTTTAACATTTTCATCTAAATGCCAAACTCGACATGTTGTTTCTGTTCCATTTAGATGTTGAGTGCAATTGTTTGTTTTTTCCTGCATTATTGTTTTTGTGTATTAACTCAGATTTCATATCACATGTATATAAAAATGAGTATTGTAACTTTCTGATTCTTATCTGGGCAGAGGAAATCATTTTCAGAGCAGTCGCTGAAACTGAATTCCAGTTGTTTTAATGTGTGTCGCCTGGTTTGAGTTAGCTCTTAAGAAGGTAAGTGTTAGCTCTTAAGATGGTTAGCTTCAATTAAAGTTGATTTTTTTTTTTTGAACAAAAGTCCCTCACAGAGTGTGTGTTCTCACCCTGTTGACACGTCATCATTTTGTGACAGTTGTGTCATGTTGATTTTTGAAGAGCGCCACACACCGCTAGTGTAATATTGACTTTTGTGTGTACACATGTCTGACAGGGTCAGGGTGCCATCACAGAGAAGCTGCGCAGCCTGAGCATGCACGACCTGACGCAGATCAGCCAGCAGGACGACAGAGGAAACCAGCTGTACCCTTACAGTTCCCACGCAGCCAACCCTGCTGTGAGGAGAGCTCAGAGCAGCGACGCTGCCGACGAAGAAGGTAAAGAGGCACACAGGCACATGTTTGTCTTGTCTTCAGGGACTAGAAGGCGGTGTTGGCATCCACCAGGATTGAATATAAAAAAGGAGAAAGACATTATATGCAAAGAGGAAGTGTGAAATACGGCCGTATTTCACACTTGCCCAACACAGAGCCTCAGAACCCAACATTAACTCTTATGCTACCATCCTTGCTTTAATCTTCCCTTTTTGACTTGCATCACCTGCAGGTGTGCGTGTGTGAGTGTGTATGTGTATGATAGAGAGGAAGAAAGGGAGAGGGAGAGATAAATAAGGGGAGGCCAGAGACAAGTGGGAGAGACGGAGAGAGAAACTTCCTCGCAGACAGATGAGATGAGATGAGCTTTAGAGAGATGCCAGCAGAATGTCAAACACTCTCTCTCTCTCTCACACACACTCACACGCACACACACACATATAGACTAAGTCAGTGATGCATGGATAGAGAGAGAGCAGGTGGGAGGGATTGGAGTTGCAGGAGGAGAGAAGGGAGGGAGACAGAGATGAATGTTTCGGGGGAGAGTAGAGATGTAAGGGGATGAAGAGAGGAGTGAATTGGAAGACGAATGTGGAGGGACCCAGGCAATGAAGGCTGCTGCTGCTGGTGGACCACATTAGCATGCTGAGGGGAGGACTCTGTGTAATATGTATTCAGCACAGACAGTGAGGCAGGGAGACACACAGACACCTTCAACCTATTATTTTGTATGATTCTCGCTGCTGTGTGAAGTTTCTCACCACAATGCCCCTGGTGACCTGATAGGAAGTATAATCCCTTCCTGAGCAATTGTTTTTATTCTATTTTCTTTTTTACAGCCTGCATATTAGAGGATATGAGAGGAGAACGATCCACCTCTCATTCCTTAATCCAACACTCCATCTATCCTTTCACTTCACTGACACACAGAGCTCTATTGTCTTCCAGGAACTATTAAGGAGACAGCTGTGAGCCTCTCGCTGTTGTTGACATGTTCCTTCATCACCATGAACACACACATCATTTATTTAATTCTGCATTATTTATCAAAAATGTAATTCCATCACAGTTAACCCTCATTACATTGTATTCTTTGCAAAGATGACCACCATTCTACTGAGTGTAGAGACAAATCTGCACCACAGACAGGGAGGCAGCGTCAGCAGCTGGGTATCTACTGACCTCTGCTGGTTCCACCTTTTAAACAAAATCTCTGAAACTTTTTTCATCAGCAGGACACAAATTGTATGTTTTTTCTTCTCTAGAATACTATTATGACCAGGAGGAGAGAACAGACGAGGAGGCGGAGCCAACCTTTTCTGAAGACGAGGCTGTCACTCAGAAAGGACTGAGACGCTCACAGAGTGTGAAGATGACGCGATCCAGAGTCCGCAAAGACGTGAGGCTGTAGTTCTGTAATGTTATAAAAATAAAATCTCTTATCATCTGTGTTATATTAATCGGAATTATTTTCTCACCAGGCTCGATATGGGTCACTGAAGATTAAGGGCAAGAAGAGACCAGCACTGAGTTCTGTTAATTATGCGATGTAAAGAAACTACTGCTGACAGACACACACACACACACACACACATCCACACATGAATCTTCCTGCCTGCTGGTTGGTGAATGGTATTTTTCAGAGCCTGTGCTCAGCTTTTTTATCAGTCTGGATTCTTCCCCATAGTTTTCTGCTGACATGTTTTTCAAATCCCTCTCATTGCAGCGAGGTCAGAGAGAATTAGTGTACCTTCAGGATGAATTTTTATCATGGACTATTTTATTTGTTTTATCTGTTTGTTTTTTTCTTCTTTATTATATTGAGTTGTGATGTTGTTTGTGTGGTGTTTTGAATTTTAAATCTGTCCACTCTGATCCTTTTTGTGTGGTACCAGCTACAACTACCAGCTTTGATTATTAACCCAGCGCCTTATCAAGCGTTTGTTAACAACAGACTTGTGGTTGCCAGGTTTTTAAGGTTTCCAATGGCTCTTTGCCATTTTTCTTTTGGATATGCATTTAAAACTAAACCATTGTCACTCAATTAAAAATGACAGAGCCTGATTTCTGAACACAGAGGCAGGAGAACAACTCTAAAATGCAATTTATTAACTATTTTGTTGTCCTTGGAACATTTTAGTCTACTTTTTGTACAAAAAAAGAATCTCATCACTATGATGCCCTCAAATGTCGTGATGATTGACGCGATGACCTCATGTGATTCATTTATGGCTGAACAGTGCCACCCTGTGGAGAAAATGCATTTTGGCCGTACATACGTTCACATTGTACGTAATTCTAATGAAGTAAGGACGAGGATTTATTGCTATAATCCGTGGTATATAGAAAAGGATAATAGAAGTAAAGTATGAAGAGACTTTGCACTGTAGTTGTAAACGTTTGTTTTTTTATTAACCAAAAGATTTTATCAGTAGTCTTGTCCTTCATGGTCCTCTGGGTTTCTGTATTTGGTTGCTCTGACGCAGTTTGGACAAAACTACTCATGATAACTGACATTACTGAGTCACTCCTATGATTTGTGCTCGTGTTACACTACATTTTTACAGATGATAAACAATCAACATCTCAGTAGTGGTATTTACTGGTACAAACTGTTTTAGTTTAACATAGCACATTGCAAATTCAGATAATAATGGTGGGACTAAATAAAATGTGGCAACCCAGAAGTCTTTAACATGGGCTTAGGAATGACTTCCAGAGCTTTTTTAATACATATATAACTTTTCTTTAAAAAACAAAACAAAACAGAGTGGCACTGAAGCATTTGCTGCCTTTCAGGTATTTTATCAGTGAGTAACTTGTTGTGATACTACTCTGTTCTTGGAGTCTGTTTTCTTCTCTGTGGCTCAGACTAATTATTGTCTTTATTAACGTTGGACAAACACGTTCCAGCATGAACAGTAGCTGTTTTAACTTGAACATTGGGAATAAAGGATCTGAGCCTCTGGTGAAACTTCCACCACCCTGTGAACACCTGCAGATCAACACTAGCCTTTGTGCTGTTGGAGAATAATGTTGATAACTAACAGAAGAAGAAGTGAATGCAGTTATTCTCTCACTTTTCATGCTGATTTCTCCACTTTCCTTCTTTTTGTGTGTCTGTGTTGTATGTTGTATGTGACTGTGTGCGCTGTTGTGCTGAGTTAGCGAAGACTAGGTTTTCAATGGTATTATTTTTGTGTCATGTTTGAGAAAATAGTTTTTTTTTAAATAATGTAACCACCTCTTTTTTGCACATATACCTCTTTGCGATTTGATGTCCTCGCTGTTGCTTATCATCTCATTTTAATACACCTTTACTTTACAGAGGAGGAAGCACAGATTTGTTTTATAAGTGATTGACAATGATGCTACTTTTTTTTGGCTTGTTACATTTTAAAGTTTGGCCTGTTTTTGTCCTTGTGAAGTGACATTTCCAGCAGGGGTGTGGTCAGAGAAAGTGTAGACAGTTAATGTTGTTTCTCTGGGAGACACCTTGACCCTCAGTCATTGTCCACCTTTATGTTCCCGGAAACTACAAACAAAAGGAACGTACAGCAGAGGGGAAAAGTGAATAATAATAATAAAAAAGAGTAATTTCAGGTTAAGGGCTTTTCTTTGGTTAAAGAAGTACAGTAAGTTGAAGGTTTGTCTTGACCTCTTTCAAAATTTCTATGAAGGGATGTCTGTAGGCCAGTGTGAGTTTAATCAGTCTGTAGAAACTATTGATGCTGAATCAGTTGTGCCATAGTGCCAATGTAGAACAACCAAAAACTGAAGGGCCGCAAAGGTGCCATAAAATAGCACCTAAGAACTTAAAAATTAAGATTTTGATTTGTTAGCTTGTCTCCAGGACTCACCGTAGCTGGATTCCAACTAGCAACTTTGTGTACCGGAGACAAGCTGTCAACCCATGAACTATGGCTACTCTGACTCCACACCAAATGTCATTTAACATGTATTATTTTACTTATACATGTTAAATACATCATTTGCTTTTGAGTGTTGGGCCAGAGTTGGACTCACTTGACGCCTGGTCAGGTTTTAAGCACAGAAAACCAAAGCCTTGTTTTGACTTCATTAAAAAGTAACAAAGAGTCAAACTGGTTCCTGGCTTGAAAAGTTTACTTTGAATGCCACTAATGGACTAATGATACCAAAGCTTCATGTCATGATGTCATCACCTACTGCAGTTCGACTGATGATCATAGGCTTGAAAAAGGTCTGGTGTGTTGTTTGCTGGATTTAACATGCAGTAAAATAAAAAAAAATCATCAGATCACTGATGGCAACAAAGTGACTTTCTTTGGTCTGTTGCAATTTTCTTTCTCTGTGATTTCGAGGAACTGTAAAGTGATTTTTAAAATGTCTGTTCAGTGCTAGGTACACATGTTGAGACTTTTGTCTGTCCTCTGGGTTCCATATTTAGAGAAATACATAAAAATACGTAACAAACAAAGCTATTTCACAGGCAATCGTGTGGGGGGCTATTGTGCACCATAGCTCGTGCAATAAGGAGGCAACACATACAAAAAAGAAGAAACACTACTACTACTACTACTATTACTATTACAACACCAACAAAACTGGTGACAGTGTTTGAAAAGATTCATCCTGCCAACTATTAGCACGTGAATAATGTTACTTCACTAGTTCACATGTTCAACGAACTCGCAGAGAACAATTGGTAGTGAAGGAGGACGAGGTCTGCCCATAGTGGAGGTATGTGTGGACACTTGGACTGATGTACACATTCTCTTTGACACTGTGTACCAACTCTGAATATATTTGTCTCCAAGTACTGTACCTTTAGGACTAACGTTTCTTTACTTTATATATATATATATATATATATATATATATATACAGTATGTATATATATATATATATACAGTATGTATATATATATATATATATATAT